GGCAGAGTGGGTGGAAGGCATTTGGGAGCTGGAAGTGGATCTCCATGCATTGGGCAGGAGCCTCACAGTGAAGCTTCCCTCTGCCAACCTGCCTGAAGCAGCACAGCAGGAGCTGCAGCTGGAGGCAAGGGGAGAAGAATAGTCCCACTGGCCCTGGTCAGTGAGCACAGTTTCCGGTGGGGCTGTTCGTGGTGCAGCTACAGCTGGCTGGGTGCTGCTGCACTCACCTTGCCTCCAGCAGCCACTCCTCCTCACACTCCTGACCCTGCTGCACACACTGGGCAGGTGGGGAGGGATGGGGGGGAGCTTCAGCCCGGCTGCTCCCACTGGAGGTGACGGGAGCAGAGGAACATCCGGCTGGCTGCACCTGCACTGGGAACAATCCTACCAGGAGCTGCATGCTGGCTGGGTCCGGGGCGAGTGCAGGCACAGGCTGCCTGGGTGGGGCTCAGCCCCTGCAATGCTCCACATGGGGCTGAGCCCCACCCGAGCCGAGTTAGCCACTGATGCCATTGACAGGCTTTAAACCACACCCCTGCCTACATACAGGAACAAGTTGTCCATAGAACTTTGAAGTTTAATAAGATGGTATTATGTAGTCACCAAAACTCACAGTACTGCAACAAATGGCTTTCTTGCAAAACCTGAAAGGATTGATATTGACTGTGCATGTTGAAAAGTTATTTTTTTAACTCACCAGTTTTTTTTTTAAAGAAAAATAAATCTTACAAGCATCTTGCTTATTTGAGATCAGCAATATGCAAAATGTGATGTTTTACAGATTCTATATTTTAGTTGTCCATGCGTAAGAAAAGACTAATACACATTTTTTCAGAGAGAGAGATATTTCCCTAACTGCCTAACTCAAAAACAGCTGAATAGCTGGCTCAGAATTTAACAACTAAAACATATTAATCTTTGGGATAAGAACAGGAATGGAAAGCGTCAGCTGAAAAGGAAAACAAATACGAGGAAGTCGTGACTATGTGAAAATGGGTTATGTTATAAATGTTATACCCATAATTAAATTTTGAGATGATTTATCATTTTCTACTTCAAGAAGTAAGAAATATTGTACTTTCCCTGGTGGAGTAAAATGTTTTGTTTCCTGAATTAATATATCAGCAACAATTACTGTACAAAGAGTTTTAGGGAATATTTCACCTATCAGACACATTCCTGATGTATTTCAAACAGAATGAAAAGGGAACAACTTTGTTTAATTTCCTAAATGTCCCAAAGAACTGTTCTGCATCTTGGACTAACTGCAAATTTTCTCTCAAAAAACAATATATTACCCTGAGCGGAGGTAAGCAACACTGAAAAGATCCAACGAAACCACCTTAAAAGGCATTGCTGAGAGTGATTCAATCCAAACATGAATGTCAGAATTTTGCATTTTGAGCTTTTTGGCTTAATTTGCCTCTTAACTGATAATATGTCCACAATTCCTGGGCATGTAGTCATACTTTTATTTCTTGTATGCTGTGTGGAAGATTGCCAAATTTGATTAGGGTCTAAGAAATTCTCATTGTGTTAAAGAAAGGGGTAGTTATTCTAAGAACAACAGAGAAACAATTCCTTCTTTTTTAAGGCAAAAGTTATAAAACTATACCTAGAATTAACCCTAGGTTATTTCTTTAACTTCCCTGCTCACTGAAAAGATGTGGTGATTACTACATGTCAAGGAGAGAAAAGTGGTGTAATTTCATGTTGAAGTCATTAAGAATTTTAAAATGAAATAAAGTTGCTGCTAAACATGAGACCCTAGGTCCTTTACCCAAATGAAAAATTGATAGTAGATTTTCTCAGTATGAACCCCCAAATGAATTCTGGGGTTTTGTGCTTTTTTGAAAACACCTCTCTATTTTGCTTGACTGCAGTAAGTCATAAACAGGATTTTCCACAGTGACTGAAGGCCAAATCCTTCCAATTATGAGAGGATTGTACCAAGTTGTCCCAATCCTAATAGGTCCCCCCAAACTACCAAGGAGGTCCTTGGGACAGAGCAAGTGGGATCAGGAAGAGGAGGATGCTCATCAGCAGGGATCCTGGTTTTCTCTGATATAAAAATATCCCCAGTTTTTGGTTTTAAAAAAGTAAGCGCAGATCCACATTCTTCCGTGATTAAAATTAAACGCCACTACAAAGATATCTATGTATTTGTGGCGTTTCATTTTAATAATGGAAAAATGTGGATTTGGAAGTTACTTCTTTAACCCCAAAATTGGGGATTTTTTTTAAATCAGAGAACCAGGATCCCTGCTCATCAGCAGGACCTTCAGCTAGGGCTTCTCTATTCCCTAGGGCTTCTCTATTCCACAGAAAGTTACTTCAGTCACAGCCTATGGCGACTGTCTAAGAAACTCCACTTTGAATTCAATCCTAAGCAAGCTGCCATTGTCTGATGGAATAGATAGAAGAGCCAAAGATTTCAAAAGAGGCAAGAATTTTTTATGGTGGGATCTTTTATTGGACCAACTATGTAGTTGGGATAAAGTTAGACAAGCTTTCAAATATAAGACATTCTTCTTCAGGTCTGATTACAGGAAGCTAGGCACAGCAAGCAAATAAGGTGTGGACTCTTCCATTTTTGTTTTACTTATGGAGGCTCCTTAGAGGATTAGGAGTATCAAACATATGGCCCATGGAATCACTCCACATAGCCTGTTGGCCTACCAGCAGGCTCCCAGAAGTTGGGAGCATAGCCAGTGGTGGGTGGGGCTTGCTGTGGGCCTTGGTGGACATGGCCCTTGGAGATCAGTGAACTAGTGAACACTGTGAAACAGCCCTTGGTTGCCCTGCAGAACCAGACCCACTGCCACTGTTGTGGTGGCCACACCCACCACCCTATGGCAGATCTGGCTTAGAAGGAGCCGTGCAGTCTGGATACAGATGGGTGACCACATAAGTTTAACACCTGTCTTAGAGTTTGTGAATGTGTGGAGTGCATGTGTCAAAATAGAACCATTAATAGGTCCTTGAAAGCAAATCTTCAAGTCAATTATCTAAATCAGGAAGTTTTATCCAGGTTAGAAAGTTGTTGTCCAGAGCCGTTCTATTGTGTACCGTTCAGCAATATGCCTGTTTCATTCTTGTCAATGTTTTTGCTATTGTGTTTGTGAGGAGAGGGGGCAAGAATAACAAAATAGTAGTTCATGTGAAACAGTCAATGAAATTTAAGGAGATTTATGTTAATGAGCTATAAAGATAACTACCTTGGTCTCCATACTTCCTGAAGACTAACAAAGTAAATTTTGTTCCCCTCGTTTAAGCGACCTCCTTTGGCCAAGGATCTAAGATGGGAGTAGACAGTCAGTTATGTCTGTCAGCAGTTAAGATTGTTGTGGCTGGCATGTCAGACAGCATCTTAAAGGAAAACAGTCTCCCAAGTAGAAAATCAACAGAAAATAATTTCAATTATTTCTTGTGCCTCCCCTCCTCATTTGATTGGATAATTTACTGAATTAACTTGATGTTCTAAAAATCATCGTTAAACTACTAATCTACTGAGTCAACCCCAACTGTAACACGGATTTGATAACTGCATTGTTCATTTTTTACTACCTTGGGGAAATGATAGTGATTTAGCTAACACAATACATTTGTCTAATATTGTATTTTCTCATTGATTATCCTTTTAAATAGTTTCTTAAATAAAGATCTATCCAAATCATACAGGGCTGATTTTTCTTTCACATTTGCAACTGAGCTGAAAATTCAGAAGCAAAGGTACTTACATGAATTATTTGGGAACCACTTAGCACTACTTCTAAATAGATAATTTTGTCCCTGATAATGCTGTGCCAAGGTATCTTCGTTTCTAACAGCAAGGGATGAGTCCTTTCTGAATGTCCCTTTTTCACATCCATTATTTATATATCCACTAGCAAAAAGCCCTTAAACCAAATGAGGGTATTAAAGGCTACTGGCAGACCTAGGAGTGAAAACACTCAAAAACAAAATTTACTACTGTTAAGAGGCTGTAGTTTCTTTCATGCAAGTTATATTCTTTTTAGGCAATTGAAGATTAAGAAAGGGTCAAACAGCAAAAACATACAGAAAGGATAAGAGAATTGAACACTCTAGAGAATTTGGTGAGAAGACACACAGTACAGTACATTCAGTAAGAGTGAATGTTGAAAGCAGGACTCAACAGCATTGTTGAACTACATCGATAGACTAAAACTGGGTTTCTTATCCTTTCTTTTGGTATGCGAAATACGGAGTTTTTCAGCAGTGCTTGAAACAAGGCATTGAACAACAGTAAACAGGTTTTCTTTTTAGTACAGTATTGGATTCTGCAAACACGTCTGCTGCTTCAGAATACAGAACATTGTTAGATTGATATGACAAAAGCACACTGACAGGTTGTGATGGAGTTTGGTTGCTGTATCGTGAGACATTCATATTCACAATTTGCCTAGTGAGCAAACTGTTTCACTGATAAGGAAGTAAGCATAGCAAACCAGTGCAACCTGCAGATGTTTATCCTTCATAGAGCAGCAATAGGATACAGGTCATCTCTGAGAAAACCACCTGATCAAAACTGGATTAAAAGGCAGCAGCACCATGGCAGCTAAAGAAACATCAGGACTGTGCAGCTTTTGAAGGGACATCAGCCTTCTGCTGTCAACTAGCAGCTCAGCACCGAGTCTGCTTGAAAATTCCTTCATACACAATCCTTTGAAAACTTCCAATACACTGCTGAAAACTAATGGCACAAACCTTTTTTGGCCCTTGCTAAAGAGCATATCATATAAATTTGGCAACAATCGGTTTTATGTTGCGCAGGTCAATGAACACTATTTTCTGACAGAAAAAAAAAGATCAGAGAAGCAGCTATTTATATTCTGAGGGGTTTATTTTACTTTATATTTATTTTTTTGATAGAACTGACCCATATCCAAAAAAAAAAAAAAAAAGAGAGAGCCACCCATCTGCAGTTTACATGGATACTGCATTAGGAATAAGTGACTAGCAAGCAGTCCAGCTCTTACCTCCTCATGCACTCCAGAGCCTGGGTGAAAACCTGGGGAGCCATCCCATGTTCATGCTGCAGGATCAGGCACTGCTCTAGGGTCACGGACATGGCTGTTCTATCCTTGGCACTTTTACAGCTTGTAAATCGAACACCATTTAGTCTGCGGCATACCTAGAAATAGAATACACAATTCATCACTTCTTTATGGAAAAACACTCTGGCAAAGAGAACACATTCCCTCTTCTGGAGTAACACCAATAAGATTTTTGATCAACTCATTTTATTGACATCAAAAGGCATATTACTACAGCCAGTACGATCGGATGAATGTGTCTCTAGTCACTCGTGGTGTGGGAAAAAAGGAACACAAGACTGGACGGGATTTCCTGGGCCACTGAGACCAGTCCCTTGAGTTTGCAGGTAATCGTTAACCAGAGGAATCCCCAATTCAAACCCTTACAATTACCAGGGCTGATAGCACTAATACCAAGAACACCCCATATAAATAGTCCCTAGGTAGAAGCAGGAGAGAGAAGGAAGTTACTGAGCCCTTGCCACTGCAATGACACAGAAGTAGTTGGTCACTATGTGCTCAGAAGTTCCTATCTTACGCTTTATGTTATAGAAGAAAGCAAAACCCCTATAACTTGTGTCAGTCTGACGGAAAAGAAAAATTTCTCCTAAAGTTGTTTTGAAAAAGATACATTCAACCAAGATGGGAATAGCCATTTTTTTTAATTTTAGTAAATATTTTTAGAAGTCTTCAATCCATTTTTTCCTGACATCATCTTGTCACAACGCTATTATTCTCAGGGCTGGTGTTGAATGGCACTACCCCATACTAAAGCAGTGATAGCATTTGAAAGGAGATGCTTTCCTTTTCTGCCTCTCAACTTGGAGGTGTGAGGAAGAGAGCATTTCAAATTTACTTGCAAGGGAATGGAGAAATTTGGAAATACAAGTGAAAATAAAAATACACATGTGAAAAAAGAAAGGGGAGTATGTATTGTACACATTTAAAAGACCATAAGATTGTAAAATATTTAGAATAATGAATACCTCAGCAGCTTGCCAAAGAATATCAACATTTTTATTTTTCCTTGCATGTACATTCTGTCCCAGAAATCTTAACAGCTCAGGCAGGCACGTCTGACTACGAGATCGAGGTAGGCCTACAAAATAAGAACAACTCTTTTACTGGTGTGCTCAGTTTCTACACATGGAAGGTTCATCTCAGTTGTTAGAAATAGTGTTCCAGCTAGAAATAGTCTCATAATCTCTACAATGCATAAAAATTTCATAATAGCTAAGTCTATTACCAGCAAACTGAAATACAACTTTACTTAAAGCTAAATTCAATTTAACAAATATTTTAAAGTGGTACTTGGCTTAAATACTATACAGCATAATAAAAATCACTCATATTTCTTCCTTCCAGAAGCCATGGGGTAATGGGAGCCAATGTTTTTGGCCAGAGTACCACAAATTAAGCACCATGCCCTCCTGAGTGCCACTCTGATCCCCAGAGCTGCCCCTAGGGGTATGCAGGGCCCGGGGCACATCAGGGGGAGTGGGGTGGGGGTGGGTGCAGAAGCCGGCGGCAGCATCAACAGCAGGCGGGAGGGGAGGGGGAGTTGCTGAGTGGCCAGAGACGACAGAGGTACTGTACGGCACTGGCCGTGGGGCCTCCCAAAGCACAGGGCCCAAGGCAATTCCCCCGATTCACCCTCCCGGGGACAGCCCTGCCAATCCACTTCCCTTGTCCAATCCATTGCTCTGCTTTCTCCTCCCTGCCCTATGCTCCCTGCCTGATCTTCTGCTCTATTTTGTGCTTCCTGCCCTATCTGCCACTGTGCTGCCTGTCCCCTCCCTGATCTACTGCACGTCAAACAGAGAGGCAGGGAGAGAAAAAGTATAAAAGTGACTGTTTTCACGGTATTACCAAATACCATTATTTATACTTGTGACATGCAGGTTGGTCAGCCCTGTCATAGGTAATTGTACATTTCCCCATAGAAACTTTAGAGATCTCATTTTACATTCTGCTCCCCTTTAGTTTATGATATCACAGCTTCCAGAAACTCTCGTTCCTGACAGTGTTACTCAGTCAGCTAAGCCATTTCTGAGTAAAACGAGACACCGTCACCCAAAGACACTGATAGATTACTTGTTAGCAATGAACAAAATTAATTAAGGTCTTTGATAAGATTCCCATTGAAGGTAACAAGCAGCTGTTCAAAATGCCACAGAGCTTTCAACAATAATTTCCTCTCCCCTTCCTCACATCCAATATAGCGTTTGCCAGATAAGTATCAAAGGACTTAACAAATATTATTCAATAGAGTTTTAAAGCAGAAACTACAGTGTACACAGTCAGAAACTGTGACTAGGTTAATCATAGAAAGTTAGGGTTGGAAGGGACCTCAGGAGGTCTTCTAGTCCAGAGTTCCTAGGTGGGACTCAAGTCACAGCGGTGAAACCAGAAGTGCCACGGCAATACTTCCAGTTTCGTTTTTGTGTACTTTGATTGGCTGCAGAGGGGCCCCC